ATCGGCCAAATAGACAGACATCATGCCGGGGGAGTTTGTTCTGCTGAAGAGAACAGATTGCCGCTCCCCCGGCATGTTATATCTCTATTTGGCCAATTTCTTCTCTTTATTGTACGTAGTTAGTTAGTGGTGGTGTCAAAAAAGTTCCCAACTTGAGTGCGCCACCACTAGGTCCTTTATTTTGTTAGTTTGTATGATCAATAAAAAAAAGTACATTCCTCTAGTGTCCCAGCCTCCGGTGTCAGGTAGCGACACCTCGCGACCATGTAGAAACTTCATCTCCAAGCAGATGCTACGGTGGCAACTTGGCAAGCCAAACGGCAATCGACCGAGGAGTGAGTGACCACAGTGGCCATAATAATGGTCACTCCTTGGCCGATTGATCTGCTTGGAGAACTCGTTCTGGATACGCGTAGATTACTAGTATCCAGAACTGTGCCTGGGAGCGTGGACTACTCCAGAACCGTGACTGGGCTGCCATCAGCGCGCGCATTGATTTTTGCCTGACTCCCTTTTTGGAGGAAAAAACAAGAAATTTTGTCTGTGGCGTTCCCACTGAATCTAAAACTTTTATTTATTTTAAGTTTCGGTGACAAATGGTGTTGACGTAGTTGGCAGTTAAGTATAAACTTAGCAAAATAAGGGTATCATTTCTTGTTTAACAAGGTTATAATGATATCAAAGTTTGAAAATGTAGGAATCTTCTTGTTTTGGCCCGCCTTGTTTTTTTTCCGCCCTATCGCATCAAATTTGGAACCTGTAGAGGATGTCATCGATAAAATTTACTTGTTGTGGCCTTCTGAATGCAACACTCAGTGAGTGAAGGGGGATCCAGTTTGCGTGCTCACGTAGCCTCTACCAGGCTTCTAGAGGCGGCTAGAAAGAGTAGAAATGGGCCAAATAGAGAGATAACATGCCAGGGGAGTTGGTCTGCTGAAGAGAGCAGTTTGCCGCTCCCGTGGGCTACAGGGAGCTAACATAAAGGATCATAAAGTTCCCTTGTCCCTCCGAATCTACTTGGAGATTAGGAACCCAGGTTTGCGTGCTCACGGTGTCACGTCATTTGACAATCTTTAATATATATTCCTATATTTAGGTATAATGATGGTCACTTTGGCCGATTACATACTGGGTTGCCTTGTATCCATCGGCGAACGTTGAATACAGAGGGGGCTATTAAACAGAAAGTCCGCTTGTCCCACCGAATCTGCTTGGAGATTAGGACTCCAGGTTTGCGTGCTCACGGTCTCCCTTTGCTGACAGGCGGACGTGCCGAATCGGCGGCCGGGCGACAATGAGCCGCTTATTTTTTTGGCGCGAAACGTGCGGGTCCCGGGGCGACCGGTCCGGAGGGGGCGCGCGCGGTAACCCCAACAGCCGTGTCGGCACGACTCGCGGCATTGAGCGGCGGGCCTCCGTGACGGGGGGCGTGCTTGATTTATTTGTTCGCGCGCTATTGTCGGGCGGCGATAAGGCGGAAGGCAAACAATAGCGGCGGTCGGCGCGAGGAGCGGAGGGTTTGGTGGGGTCGTGTGGCGTAGCGGCAGAGTGCGAAACTCGGGACTGAGACCCGGGGTTCGAGTCCTTAGCCTCTACCAGGCACCGCGGATCGCTGGAAAAATAGTAGAAATTGGCCGAAATAAAGGGATAGTATACCAGAGAAGATACAGGGCCATAGAAGCTCCAATTTGCGACCCACGGGTCTATGGCCCTGGATCTTCTCTGGTATACTATCCC